ATGCCTTATCTTTATTGACTGAATGGAAGAGTTGGCAATCACATTAAAAAAAAATAATCTTATTTCAATCATTTCTTCAGGTTGGTTTGAAATTTCAACTTCCTAAAGAGAATATTTTTTTTCCTGTGACTTTTATAGAGCGCCATGCAAAACTGTAGATGCAGTTTTGCAAATTGTTGCCTCCTACCCATGAGGCTGGCTTCATATCTACAAAAGCTACAAATACAATTTACTTGTTACTTTAAATGTACTAATTGCATTTAATGTCACTGTTTAGTGCTACTGTTTCATTCAATAACAATAGTCACTGCATAATGGTCCATCCAAAGGATAGTGGAAGATTATCTTGACTGTATTCAGAAGGTCCCTAGTTTCATCCCAGCTTCTCCGAAATTAATACCTGGAGGACAGCAGTCAATCTAGTCAAGAAGTAATCAATTTCATGGGTTTGAGATATTTCAGATTTTACCTTCCTTCACCCCAGCCAGCAGAACCATTGGAAAGGTTTTGTTAGAATTGCAATCCAAAACAACGAGATTGTGCAGACAAACATAGACAATGGCTGGGTTAGTAAGTCTGGTTCACATGTTGTGCTATGTCATAAAGCAGTTTTACAAGCCATACAACTGGCCCTTGAAGTTGCGGAAGTCACACTGCCGTCGCAGTCACGTGATTGCAATTTGGGTGCTTGGCAACCGACACACATTTACCACGGTCTCAGTGTCTCAGTCATGTGATCAGCATTTGTGACCTTCATAGCTGGCTTCTGACAAGCAAAGTCAATGGGGAAGACTTCTGGAACTTGCAAGTCACAGTCACGTGACATCGCATTTAACGACCTGTGGTGATTCACTTAATGGCCTCATCTGGAACTGATGAACTGACATCGTAAGTCATGCACAGTCATGTGATTTTCACTTTACGACTGCATCATTTAGCAACAGAGTTGCCAGTCCCAATTGCGGTTGATAAGTGAGGACTACCTGTACTATATATGCAAATATATATACAGATAGGATTTCTACTTCAGAAAAACCATGTACTTTTACAGGTGTACTTCCTTAAGCTTTCTTAGAAACATTTTAAAACTTGAAGAATTCTCTATGTTAAAAACTCAGAATTCACTTCAGCTCTGCTATATACTTTAAAAGATAAAAGCGTTTTTGCTGTGGGCAAATCTGACATGGCAATTCCATACAGATTGTTATATCTATAGTTCCTTCCTTCCTCAATCACTTTCAGGCTGCATTTTAAGTGAGGTCTGACTCTACAAACATGGCCTGAGAAAATGGAATTAAAAGCACATTTCGGTTAGCATGCTCCCAGGCCTTTCCAAAATGATAAAACCATGCGTGTGAATTATGAAAGCCACACTGGAACAATATTGTCGCAGCCCACTCAACTTCAGTTGCACTGCACAGCACAGCTATGTCAAAGGAAAGGTATTTGAGGAGGATCTGCTTTTTTCATTTGTGAATGAATTGTTCTCTATGCTAAAGTTTGACAACAGTAGTGATCACATTTCTGACTTAATAAAGTACCATGACACTTGGTGAGACACTACCTCATAGTCCACTGCCGACTGATACTATCATGTTACTGGGCAAAACACAGCAAAACTGGACAAGGCAAGAATGTAGATCATAGTTTCACTCCATGACTATGTTACCAGACTAATTTTTCATTCCTGCAGATTTTGCTTTTGAGACCTTGTTGAGGAAGGCAGGAAGAAGGGAGCATCTGGGTGACTGAATCCAAAGCTCAAGTTTTGCTCAAATATAGATTGGTAATGAGGGTATTTCTAGGTCCAAGCTCCACATCTGTTGGCTTTAACTGATATGCTAAGATCTCATGGGGTTCCCTGATTAGTGGATCTCATGCTGGCTATGCGGGCAGTTAAAATAAACACTTGTGGTCTCCAAAAGCATGTGTTATCGTGCCTTAGTATTTAGATCATTTCACTTGAATAATCAAATGTGAATTGGTGAAAGAAGGTCAACAAGAGAAAGCATATACTCAGATGAAACTTTGGATTTTATCAATAAGGAGGAATCATAGGTTAACCAAATTCAAACAAATAACATATCAGCTCCAAGCCAACATTTTGAAAAAAGAAAAAAAAAACTTGGGGATTCAACTAACAAGAATCATTGAATGTTTTCAAGGTACAATTTTTATTTGCTAGTTAAATAATTTACTGGACTTGATAAAACATTACCCACATGTGCAGGCATAGACAAATACTCCATAATATAATCTGATAAGAGACCTCCAATTAGTTTTATCAACTTTATTTACTTAACAGTATGTTGACATTGCTCCAGTCCCAAAGGATTAATTTTGAGAACAAAAAGACAAAGAACCAAAAATTGCACCATCAAAAATAGACCAATCTGCTCCTGAATTTCTGTTCCATAATCTCAGAGTTCTGGGGAGGCCACAAATGAGTTAAGAGGCAAATTGTCCAGCCCTGATTGAAAGCATTGTTTTAAAATAAAATATAGTTTATTTCAGTGAGGCAAGCTGATTTTAACTAATGTAACCACACAAACAGGGATGTTCAATATGTCAATTGGGATTTAGCAGGATGGAAAACATAATGCCTCTTATTGTCCCCCATACAATAATTCTTTTGTACATACTAACACACAAAATGTGCTTGTGGGATAAAATCAGTTGTTCATCTCCTCCTAGACCACTTGATGGTGGTATGGCATATTTCATGCTTAGTGCTCCTCCTTTTCTTCTTTCAAGAACCTTTCCTGCTTAGGCCAGACCTGATGAGACCTTCAGACTGTTTAGTGGACTGTTTTGTTCTTATATTATAGTGCGGGCACCAGGTCTACCAATCTAACAGAAGAAATGGAGGAGGAGATGTTGCTGAACGCTCACCATTTCTTCTGATCAAAACTTCCCAGGAGCATTTCTCCCAGTAGGTAAATACATATTTGTCCTAAAGGAGGAAAAACAAGCTAGTGGGGAAAGTGCTTTTTCAGAAAAACGATCCTCAAAAAAGTGTCAAGCATGTCCTCTAATACTCTGATCAAATGCTCTGTTCTCCTTGGTTTAGCCAATGTATTTCTGCCCGTGCTCTCTCCTACATCCCATCCAGTTTGAATCCTGGGGGATATTAAAATTCATTGTAACCAGAAATTGGGCATCAGCTTCCTTCAACTATCACATAGCCTTTCCCCATGTAGTACTGCCAAACAGATGTATTGGGACTGCTGATTCCTATCCTGGCTGGGAATTTGAGGAACTGCAGCATGAATACAATTAGGTGCCAGGTGGGAAGGCAACACTAGGAATAAGAGGCCAGTGATATTTTTAAAAGATGAAAAATGAAACTTATTGTTTGTGTTGGAACTTTCTTTTGACAGAGAGAAGAAAAAAAAATGAGATCAGATTGTGATGCAACTTTTAAACATATATTTTTAATTAATAATCACTTCTTTTCCTGATAAGCAATTTGTTGAGTTTTAAGTGCAAAAACCAGATTAAAATGTTTTTTACCTATTTTTTTTCTTCTTTTGATATTTGCCATTAAAGAAAGGAAGATCCTCATTGATCAGAAGAAATGTCCCATTTCTACTGCCCCTGGTGTTTTAGTGGTCAAAACCACAAACCATGAGCCAAATTATCTTTGATTCAAACCTCTAATTAGCAAAGAAGTGAAGGGCAAATTCCATATGATACTTTTTTATTAACTACAGCTAGCAGTTACTGGGGGCGGGGGGGCACAATTAGGAATGGA